ATAAAAACAATTAAACAAGCAACTCAATTCGAATTTAAAAACGTATTTTAGAAAATTAAATCCTACGAGATAAATAAGCGCTAAAATACTTGTGGCAAACGAATTAAGGAAACAAGCATCTCATTTCAAATTTAAAATTAATTAATTGCGCAAATTAATTGTTAATTACAAATAAAATAAAATGCATAAAGACCAAACCGTTTTTAAATCGTTGGCGCTCTTTTTTTTAAATATTCAGCGAACCCGCTATCGTATTAAAAAGGTTATAAAAAGCAAATTCGTTCTAAAATGGGGTAATAAATTCGGTTAAAAATAGTGTAAATTTCTTGGTGTTAATGACGAAGTACTTGGGCGGTGAACGGACTTTATAGGCGTGCTAAAACCCCATAAAACCTTTTTGCATGAATTCTTTATAATTTTAATGATTAGAGGACTAATGGCAGCCGCTAATAATTATGACCATCCTCGGTACTTCGGCCGATGCTGAAGCTGAAAATTCCAAAGACAAAGGAGTCCACCAATTTGCCGGCCATCTTTGTTTAATTTTATTTATATATTTTATAGCCACATATAAAATATATATAGCCATATAAATAGCCATTAATTAAATTGTGAAGAACAAAAATCGATTAAGGCGGGGTTGGTAGTTTTCAATGTTAAAGACACATTTTAGCGTGATGGGGTAAAAAAATACGAAATAACTCGATATCGGATCAAGTCTATTCAATTTGTCTGCCCCGACATTAAACTTGAGAGAGATAATTTGGTTCCGACAAGACACCGCCACACCGAACCTTATCCAAACACCACCCTGTCCCATTTTAAGTAAATAAACCTATGGGGAACGTTTCCTATCCTAAGCAAACTTTGCTGTTTAAATTCTCCCAAATTTCCCTTACAATATGCATCAAAATGTAGACGGAATTAAAATTTGCCATTTTCTCGGAATTTACAACACGCGTTCGGTAAGCTTTTATCATTAGATCTTTCGTCATAATGTCATTAGCTTTATTTAATACATTAGAAGATAAATTAATCATCGGTACGTCATTGAAACAGACGCGTTTTCTATAGAACGAAGCGCATCGATGGGGAAATTGAAACACCGAATCCCGCAATAATAATTAATTATATAGACAACAACGACATATGCAAAATAAGTAAACAACGCAGAATAACGAAAATAATCCACGCAATGTGTTTTAACGGATAAACTGTTTAATCAACATTTATCGCTTCATTAAACCAACAACCAATAATAACCTTTTTTTACTTCACTTCCGATATTATTTTTATTGGTCCAAAACAAATTTTAGAAATATAGCAAACAAGCATTTTCCAAGTCGATTGTTGTGTCAAAAAAATCACCATTTTTGTTTGCAAAACTAAACCAAAACTAACCAAAATTTAGCTGCATATTTCCCCATAGCGAAATATATAGATAAGTATTAAAAATCTAAATAAATTTGGTGTGCCGATTTGTAGTGACCAGCATGTGTGAAATCTGTGAACTCCGTCAAATCTTGAGCACTTTCTTTTAGTTCAATCTTAAAATATGTGACTAAATAACTATTTTTATGTTATTTATGGCTGCGTCGAAAGGAGTGACTTTTGATTGCACGTTTAGCCAATTAAAGCAAATAAACTTTATGGGTGATATACATATTTCATTTGGATTTTTTGGAGTATTCACACAACTGATGATTCACGGATGGGAAATTATTCCAGGATGTCATCCTCCGTTCGTTTGTTGAGTTCAACAAAGTCACGTAGCATTTTTAAGGTTAGAAGACAAGGCATAAGGCCAGGTCAAACATATATTTTTTCTGCCTTTTTTCCTATTTGGCTATAATTGCAAATTAAGAATTACGAAAACTTCTGAGCTAAATGTGTAGAAAAGGCTGTTGTCTATAAAGAAAATTATTTAATTAAAGTTCATTAAAAAAACGAAAAAATTAAAAAACTAAATTTTGAAAAACAATTTAAAAATATTAAATTTATGTCTGTTTTGAAAACTTATGTCACTGACTGAATACTCTTTGCCACTTAAAAAAAAGTTTTAAATGTATTTTTTATATATAATCTTTACTTAATATTATTTTAATTATGACGGAATAAAAAACCTAAAAATTATGTTTCAAAATCCGTGATATCTGGAAAACCATTTACAAATCTGTGAAATATTTATAGAACCCGTGAATTCTCAATCTGGTGAAATCTGTGAAATGAAATGGGTGTGTGAAATCTGCTGTCCTAACCCGATTGAGAAAAAAAATTAAGTAGAAATGAACAATTAATATTAATATAGAATCGTTAAAAAACATTAAAAAAAAATAAAACTTCCCTTGCATATCGACTAACCCAGATTGAAAAAAATTATCATTTTCAAGTGAGTGATAAAAATCTGATTTTTAATGTTATGCATCAATTAAATTAACAAATTTTATAAAGAAATTATTTAAATAAATAATAGAATAGAACTTCCTTAATTTTTCTTCCACTGTAGAATTTAATTATTAATTGATTTATTCGAAAATTAATTTAGGAAGTAAAATTTGGGCGACTGGCGGCTACTGGGAAAATTCGTATTCTGATTTCTCTTTACGCTATATGACTTTATATATAAATAAAACAATCTGTTTCATATTAATACGGCCAGTGCTTAATAAATTTGGTGTACTGATTCGGGTTGATCAGCATCCGGGAAACTGTCTATATCCAACTAAGCCAACCCATTATAAAAATGAAAAAAAATGTTAAGTGGAAATGAAAAACTAACATTAAAGTAAAATATCAAAACGATTATCATTTTCACAATTAAGCTATATTAGCTAGGTAGGTACAATGATTTTGAGAATTAATTATTTATTATTAATTAATTTATTTCGAAGTTTAAAAGTATTATTGCAACTAACCTTTCCAAGCATACCTCCCCACCAAATCAAACAGTTGTTAATTTGTTTAGATCTAACTAAATAGAACATGCATAATATATTAAAATAATAAAATAAAATTAAAAAATAGAATTTTTCTTGCACATTGTGAGTTTGTACACCCATCAAATTACCAAAATTTCGAAAGAAATTGCTTAAATAACAAATTGAATTAATAACTTCCTTAATTTTCCGTCGTCCCTAAAATTTAATTAATAACTAATTTCTTAGCAAATTAATTTAGGAAGTAAAGTTCCCTACTTCTACTGGGAAAACCCGTATTCTTATTTCCTTTTACGCCTCGTTTTACGCTATAGAATCTCGATTTCAATATAAAGAAAACTATTTGTTTAAGACAATGCTTTTTTTTGAGAAATCACTTTCTTTGACGGAACTAATTGCGCTTCCGAGGCAATTAATGAAAAATGGCGCGTCTAGAACCATTTCTGGTGGTAAAATCAGTTCTACCCATACCCGACGTGATTCTCCCATGGTCCGTCGGACAGGCAAGCACGAATTTAGACGTCTGTTTTGGACACAATATAACAGTGCATATATAGATTGAAATGTTTACATGGAATTGTTTTCGAACGGAGGAATACGCATCGGCATATTAATTATCTTAACGTCAGACTATGATAAGCTAATTTTATGCTATTGGGGTTGGTTCGTATTAAATTTCCCTGATATATACGATCGGAACAATTTGCTGCGTAATAAATTTACTGGTCAATATCATACTCAATGAATCAAAATTTCCGGAGCAGATTTTTCCAATTAAACACGGATAATAGCGTGTATATAACTATAACCCATATTATGATGAGAAATGTAATTCAAAGAAATTTCCTGCAATTAAAACACTTGTTCCTGTCAGTTCGTTTCATACCGAGATAGAACTTATCTGATGTATGTAACTTAATTTTACTTCACACTGTTTCCGTGGTTTTAATTTTTAAAACGTGAAATTCATCTGCCTGACTTTTGTTTGAGTTATGAGAGAGAACGAAGGAATTTAGATGAGGTTTTTAATGTTTCTTTTTTAAATTACGAAGTTTGGAAAATTAGAGGTGCTCGGGAAAAAAGTGCCCAATTTATCTCAACGGAATTACACCGGTTTGCGCTAATGAATGGTTTCTATTAACAGTTGGTTAGATATTTTACGCCCGAAATATGGAGAAAAATAGATTTTTACAACCGGCCGCATTAAAAGCAGAAATGTAAAATATTAAAAGCATGTTAGTTTATTTCTTAAATTGAACAAAAGCATTCCGTTTGCCTTACCGTTAACGATTTCAAAAAGCAATTGCTTTGAAGAATGTCGTTTATTTCTAATATTTATATAAAACTGTTTGAGCTCCTTTAATAGAAGCTGATAAACCACGGTCTTTATCGAATAGTTATTTAACGGGTTTTTAACCTTACTCAGATTTTATTAGGCTATTAAAAAGATGATTGAAAGAAAACCTCTGGCACTATGAATGACTGTCGGTTAACGATATCCGCGCCTTTTTGCGGTTTGAGAACAATAATATAACAACCTTTTCAAATTAAACTCTATATAATAGATTTTCTTTGACGATGTTATACAAGATTACGATTTCCGTTCGATTGGGTTTAAATACGGTTCCGCGGCGTCAATGGTGTTTCAAAATCATTGAACCATAAAGAATATGGGATAAGAAGAACCTAGCAAAAATGCCGGGATTACTTTAGCCACGAGATCCGCACAATACACGAGGGAGAAGGAAAATTCCAAAAGGATTATGAATATAGCGACACATTCAGGTATTTCGTGAAACATGACAGGGATAAATCCTTGCGGCATTTTTTCTTAATCTACGCCTTTATTAGAAGGATATGCCGAAGCAATTAGGCAGCGATTTCTGCGTTGAGGAATCTTGAACGAAGCAAGTTTGTACCCGACGTACCACCGCAATCACCGATGTGTACATATGCATTATACCCACTTATTGCATCCTATTAAAATTCCATCTGTGTGATTCTTATGCCGGCGTGGTACTTTGCGTTTGCTTCGGCTAATATCTCGTTTTATCAGGTACTTACCTTCTTCTTAAAGTGCGTTACCCCATAAGTAAGAAAAAAGTGCTTCAACTATTCGGTCGCAACACCAAAAACCATTAAGAAGCCACAGCACGCAAGTAACCGCACTTTTAAAAAAGTTCCATGGAGTTCGGACCATCAAACATTTTTAGTAAATGATGTGACGAAATGTGGTAGTAAGTACACTCTAAAAAGTTATTAAACTACCCCCTTCCATCGATAACAAACGTAAATTTGCGTTAAACTGATTAAACGAGAGGCGACCGAAGTTTCAAAAAAAGTTCCGAAGTTTTGCAAATTGATGTTTTCAGTTTATTTATAACTTGTTTTGAGGATCTGACGACTAGCACAGAACAACTAACCGCGACCACTCAATACACACTGACGGTAAACGATAGTGGCGACAACGTTCTTCCAACGTTAATTCACAGAAGCTGACTTAAAAACGCACAACGACAGCCACAAAGGGCCAGAAAAGCGGGAATTTTAAAGCCAATGAATAATGTATAGCCCATTGTTATTTAATTTTGAGCACAACGTTATTATATCGCAATATTTCAAGAAATCCCAAACGATAATTCAGCAATACTTAACAGAGGGAATCATTTCTAGAAACAATCGCATATAATATAAAATTTCGTCTACATTTTATGAAAATATAAAAAAACTCAATCGACAAGATTAAACAGAAATGCTATTAAAAAATATTCTGCAGTATTTTAAGAGGCGGAATTATTCAAAATGGTTTCGGGTTGCGTATTATACCCGAGTAAGTGGCGCCATCTAGCATTGAAGCTGCCTACATTGCTGACGGACTACCTAAACGAAAGCAGAAAACCACGGTCGCCATCGATTTTTTGACAGGAAATACTAATTTTCGCCAAAAGATGGAAACATGGGCGACTAAAATCAATCATTAGCATATGTAAATGCCAATAAATTGCCCCATCGATTACAAGTGAAATAAATATAATTTCACGCATTCGACGGACAGTAAAAGCTCAAGAGTTTTGGAAAAAAAACTGCCATTTTAAGGCGAGATAGTAAAAAGTTTTTGGAGCACCTCTAATAAAAAAAAAAGAAACCCTCAATCCCAAATACATACAATCTAACCAATATTTTTCCACTAACTTCAAAATTAATTTCTACAATTTTATTTACTTAATAATGCCACGAAACTGCTTTCAAATCTTACCACAGAGCCCGTAACAATAATTCCCCATTACGTTGGCTTAATTTATTTAAAGAACGTAAGCAAACCTATTCGATTTTTGGATTTAACGGGATTGTGGGGAAACGTTCGATTGCTGAAGGCATTCGGATGGCGCCCGAGTGACCGAAACGTTGAGAAAACTGGCCCCCAGGGACCAACTACGAAGCCTGGGTAATGCATTGAATTAGACAATAATAGAACAGGACGATTGGTCCCTAAAGAAACAGCAATGTACAGGATGAAGAAGACTCTGTTTTGTTGTCTTCAATTCACTTGCCAAGTAAACGAGCGATAAAAATAAGGAGAAATCTTTGGTGGAAATTTTATTTACGTATGTACATGTATTCGAAATACTGACCGCAATAAATCGTAAGAATGGAACGAAAGTCTGACGTACTGGCTTTTCCACCCCAATAGATGAAAACAGAAACCGAATAAAAGCTGTATGGAAATTGAACTTCCAGAATTCATTGGAATTAATGCAGGAAACATTGGATACGCGAAAATTCATTTCAGTATATGCGATGTTCGAGGGTTTTCCCTGTGAGTCTAAAAAACTCAAATTGCTTTTCTGGTGAAATTTATCGGACAGTAGTAGTAAAATATTAGTCTTTATTTGCTTTAACTTAAAATTTAAATTCAATATTATCGATATTTCACTACATAATTAAACTAATATCGCAAAACATTAAATTAAAAAGAGTGCATACCTATCATGAAAATTGCATCTAACAAAAATGGGCCACTTAGACTTTTTTTACTAATAAATTTGGCAACCAACGTACAACTCGTTATTTACTGTTTAAAATCTAAATAACTGAAATGGGATTAATTGTTAATAATTAATTAAACTTTTCATAACGACAATTCCGCTAGAGCCGAACCGATCAAGTCCGACCAGAATCGATTGGGCAAAATTTATACCTAAACAATCACTTACTTTACCCGTTATATTATGCAAGTAAACAGTGTCCATTATAAATAGGGATTTAATTCGCCCTGCGGCCTGCGGTTTTCTACATTCAAAGTCACTTGAATTTGACAAATTGTATTTAATTTGGTGGAGTCCACACGAGAAAGTACAACGTTTTACACTTAACACGTCACGATATTTTCGAACAGTTTTGGATATTTCAATCCTAATGCTGCAACAGCGGAGCAGAGCTCCAAACTTCGCAAATCGACTAGGGTTTCCGATAAAATAAATGGACCAAAACAAATAAAATATTTAATGCGATTATTAATGTTTTATTCATTGCTTTTTGCTGATCAATATATGGGCACTTCAATACGTTTTACGACAAATCCATTCCGACAAGTAACGAAAGCGGAACTAAACGATAATAATAACAATTTTATTTTCGGTAGACGTTTATTAAAGAAATTGCCATTGATTTCCTTTTTTCTAGCGAAGTGATAAGGGAAAAAATAAACATCAAGTGTTTTATTTGAAACTTCTAAGTAACTGTATTAACATTTACCTACACCTAACCAAGTGCCTATCTATTTTAAATTTGTAATATGTTTAACCCAAAAAATGGGTTACTGTACGTTGTATATAACTTACGACAACCATGAAATATATATTTTATAAATATATTCTACTAATGATAAAATTGATTTCGGCTAAACTCATATTTTTCAAAAGGGGGTCCATTTTTCTTTTTTATTTGTTGGTTAGAAGAGAAAAATTTTGCTTCTTCTTACATTTTTTTATTATGTTAACCACGTACGTTTATTTTATTGTATTCTAATTGATGCTATTGATGATAAATATATTGATTGATTGATAATACATACTTAAAAGCATTACAGTGACATACAAGGACTCCAAACATGAACCTTATCAAATATATGTAGAATAAGTTTTGGAGAAGCCTCTATAAATGGAAATGATCAGAAACCTAATTACTTAATTAAATAATACGTATACAAATCCATAAATAAAACTAGAAAATAAATGTAAAAGTCTTTTATATAGAGATGCAATGAAGAAAACAGCTGTTCAGGTTCTGATAAAATTTCAAATATTGACAAAACAAATTAAAAATCAAAATTTAATCTATGGTTTAAAAACAAAGTCAAGGGTCCTACCGACCCATCAAATAATGTTAGTAAATGCCCTCCCATGTTGTAACTTAGGGTATTATATAGTTCTTATTTATCATAAAAAAGCGAGTGAGAATTTTGAGCCGAACATTTGTCACGACCTTTATAACAACATACTACCTTAGTAATTAATATATATGATATATAAGTACTTGTCTATGGCAATTTTGAAAAAACTATTTTTGAAATAAAATTGTCAATTACAACCAAAATTATTCGGTTGAGAATTAATTCCCCAACACCTGAGCGCACTTAAGGACACGTATTGGTTCATTAATATATGATATTCCAAATAGTCTTCGACTAAAATAAGATTGGCTCCGAAAAGAGGGTGCTAAGAGGAATGGGGAATGGACGAGGATTGGGGGGCGTCGTTGTTAGGTGGTGCTTGCATATCATCTTAAAGTTTAATTGAGTCTTGCCGCTTGGGGATGAAACACCGAGATTGCTTGGGAATTCCCAAAAGAGCAGCTTCTGATTCTCCCGACACCCCGCGGAATCGCAAAGCGTCTGCCTTGACTCCCTTTTATCCAGTGGCGACGACCACAGGGTTCAATCGTCCTCACAACCAGGGCTGCTTTTGGCGATTTTTATCTGCTAAATTTCTAAATCTTTCTAGTGGTATTGTACCATTGCCGCCTGCTTCATTAATCTATTCTTAGATTGGTCATTTCTGATATTTTTTCAATTGTTTTTTTATAAATGTCTTTCCGAGCGACACTGTTTTCATCCCCGCCATAGTCCATCACGCTCCTCCATGTCCCCATCCACCGCGCAATGTCCGCAATATCTTTTCCTAGGTCTTTATTGCTAGTCAGTTACTCAAGCTTAAATATTCAGAAGTTTGATTGGAATCTACAAAAAAAAAACCCTGGCCCCCTTTACACTAAAATACAATGAAATAAGTTAACAAATTAGTACAATCCATTTTGCATCTTCAGAATGTATGTATGTATATGTAATGTATAATGTAATGATGTAATGTAATGATATGTATATATGTATGTAATGTATGTAATATACATGTAATGATTTGTATAACGTTGAAAACTAACCAAGATATATTGAGAAAACTGCATTTCGGTATGATAGCTGATGGTATCAATATTTAGGCTCAAAAAGATATGAAAAATCGCAAGAATTAGCTTTTCGGTTTGAGTGCACAGGAGTCAGCAATAAGAAAAGAACACAAAAAAAGCTATAAAAAGGTGTCACCTGGTGAAATGTGGTGAAAATGGTAGTCTCTAAAAATCATTCAATTTTACAAACGTGGATAACATGGGCCTGTTCAAGTTGTAGAGAGATAAATTCAAAAACAATTTATTTCCATTTGAATGTCAAAAAATTAAACACATAAATACTTACATAATAAATAATAAACGATTATCACAGACTTACATTTATTTACATCCTTTCATGGACGTGGAGAAATGATAACCAAGTTTGATAGGCGAGAGGCTATCAGTCACGATTGGTCTTAATTGTTTTGGAATATTTAAGTAATTTTTTTACATTCAATATAAAATAAAATTCTTGAAACAATCAATATTTTCAAATATAACAATCATATTCAATGATTTTATTTATATTTTGTCTTAACAATCATCCTATTTAACTCTTATACATTAACGTCGAAAACAACAAAATATAATAATATTAGAAAAAACCTAAAATGTAAAAAGAACAACGGTAAAGCGGAAAAACAGATTCACAAAAAATATTTTCGTTGAAAGCCGTGGAATTAGGACAACAATTTTTTTACTTTGTATTAACAAAAAAGGATTGAAAAATTCGCATACCTAATACAATAGTCATAAAAAAATAAATTATATTGTTTTTACATGCATAAAGTCTTATAAGACGCGGTGTACTTATTTACACGTTCTATATGTATGAATCAAAAACTTAAGGGCCGTTCTGGTACAATTTCGTTATCTGGGGTCCCGTTACGAATATGTTTCTTAAAAAGAACTGGCCTCTTTCCGATTTTATGGAACCCCATTCTAAAGGCGCGATTTTTTTGTTATATTTTTATAGACAAAGACATCCCCCACAGGTTCTTATTTGCGCACTTCGCGTTAGTATACAACGCAAAAAAAAAACACTCCTTTGCTCTTATTTCGTTGTTACTCTACGATTTCTGATATTGTTAATTATTGAATAATTTTAGCTTGTCGCGTAAACCACAAAAATTTATAAACGGACATTGGTGGTTGAATAGAAACGGAAAATTCGTAAGCCGGAAAGGTTAAACGGTCCAAAGTGGGATGGAAAAAGGAAAGGTAGAGTAATAGAGCAACAGAGAGTCGACAGAGTCAAGCGGACCCGATGACATGGATCGCAGTCACATTTTGAGCGTCGTGGGTTCCACGCGCTAAAACCCGCTTCCCGGATCGTAATGAATTTTCCGTAGTTTTCGTTATCCGGCTTTTGAAATGAAAATGTTATTTAAAGGACACAGTACCCGGCTCGAAATGCTCATCGAAAAAATTCACTCGAATAAAGAAAATCATTTACAAGGTAAATTATTTTGAAACTCTATTTCCGTTAATATTCAAAATTGAGTTGAAAAAAAATTTATTGAATTTATCGCGATTTTTGTGGTGTAATGCGATTAGTTTTTAACGTTGTTAAATTTTATTGCAGAATCTGACATTTCGGTGAGTTCGTCATCGGGATCGGAATCGGTAGCCGGTAGATCTGCCAGTGTGGATAACACGCAAGACATAAATTCCGTGTCGTCGGTGTCGGTTAATTTGGAATCGCCGAAGTCGCAACATTTTTCAGAATCTGACGACGAAGAACTCGATTCGACCGACGTCAAAATCGAACCGCTCGATGACAATGACGTTTTAAAACCAAATTATCAAGACGCGACATTGAAAATCAACGAAGTAAGTGCATCCGTTTTCGTAAACAGTTTCACCTTCAACTTTTCAATCTAATTAGTCTTTCATGGTCTTCTTCTATTCTGCGGCTGATATATTAATGCTTTTTCCGTGTAATCTGTATTCTCTCTACAATACTGTCTTTGTCGCATGCCCACTTTGTAGATTGTTGATTTTAAAGCAGTCGCATTGCTTTTTTCCTCCACATTTTTATATCGTCTGCATTTTTAAACCCAATTTATGTGCGCAAGTCCTTCCCTGCTGCCTATCGCCAGATATTCTGTTTGGTTGGTTATTTTGAAAAACAAAAGTTTTTAGGCACTTATCTCCCATCTCGATTTCCATTCTCGTAATTTCGGTTCTCCAACCATTCATTTTAATATTTTTATAATAATATATATTTTAATAGAAGTTGGTAATAAATTACATTAAATACATGTAATACAAAAAAAATATATTCCAAAAAAAAAGAGGGACATGTTTCGTTTAAAATGGGATTGTTGTTTATTTGTATTGGAACTGATGATGCCATTTTAGGCGAAACATGTCACGATGTATATTTCTTGTTTTACCTCTATCACTAAATCAATATTCCAAACAGCATTTTCCGGGCTAGTACAATTCTTTTTATTTTCTTTTCAGTCGTATCAAACATCGGATATCCAACAATTTACCTGCCCGCATTGTCCGAGATTATTTAAACATAAAAGATCGCGAGATAGGCATTTGAAATTACATACGGGCGATAGAAAATATAGATGCGTCCAATGCGAATCTGCATTTGCTAGGAGGTGAGTATACTATGGACGCACCTAGACAGTCGTAAATATAATTTAAATATTTGTTACTGATAGAATGGTGTATGTTTTAGCGATCATTTGAAAATACACATGAAAACGCACGAGATAAAGAAACAAAATAAAATACAAATCTGCAATAAGGGTTACGGTGGCTTCGGCGAACAAACGCATATGAAAGAAAAAGACGGAAAAAGTGAAGAAAGTTTAGCCAACTCGAGTCCCGAAAGTTCCCTGATATGTTTCCACTGCAACGAAATATTTGGCTCCGCTGACTCTTTGCAGGTAGATTTTTTTTTACTTTTATTTGCAAAGTGTATTTTTAAAAAATATTTTTCAGAATCACCTCTTTTCGTTGGAAAAATACGAAATTTCGGAAAAGGCCGCGAGTCCGGACTCGAAAGCGTTTTGTATATATTGCTTCCAAGAATTCCCTAGCGCGACTCACATGTACGACCACGTCCAAATATGTCACAGAACCGTCAAAGACGAAGTCAGTACTAGTTCCGATTTACTCAGAACTACATCCTCTGTAAGAAAATGCAACGACGCATGCTACGTCTAGAATATGTTTTATTTTAGAACTACGGCCAAGAATTCCATCAGGACTTCAACATTAGCATGACCTTTCAAAACATCTCGTTCGGGACATTCACGCAGGACACTCAAACAAACTTCGTAAGTAAAAGAAGGAAAGAACTTCATATTGAAAGTGCCGCGTTTAAAAGAAAATGTTGCGAAGTGAAGTCTAATTCGCTAAATGAAACATTCATATGTGCCTGCTGTTACCAACAACTTCCCAACTTCAAAAGTTTCCTACTCCATATGGAAACTCACGTATCTGCTACGAAAAACGATATAGTCGGAGTGTGCGTCCTCTGCGGCGAGGAAATAATCGGAACTTTAAACCTTTCCAAGCATTTGTTTAAACATTCGATAAGCAAACTGAACGATTTCGGGTGTTGCTGCGCTTGCAAAAAATATTTCAACGACTACGAACATTTGCAGAAGCATTTGGCGGAAGAGCACGTCGTTAGCGTATACAAATGCTCGATTTGCAACGAAATGTTTGACGATAAATTAACGATGAAGGTGAGTGGAAAAATGGCTTCACATTAATTTTCAACGTCCGATATCTATTTTAGGCACATTTGAATAGCAAACACACCAGGAACTGTGACCGTTTCGAATGCAACTACTGCGCTGGAGCAAATAAAATATTTCACGACAAACAGTCGGCAGAAATGCACCTTTCCCAATGTCATCTCGATCAATTTTGTTTTAAGCAAGCGAGAGAACTGTCGCTTTTGAGCAGCGAACCGATATCAGAATCCGGCCTTCAGGAAATTTACGACGAAAATATCGAGAAAATCCATGAACAAGATTTCGCGTCGAATAGAGAACATCGGTCAGAAAGCGCAGGTAAGTTTTTATAGAAACCTTATGGTTATGACAAAATCGATATTTTTTTTAAGGGTCGCTAAGCCTGCAGTGCGCGTATTGTAAAGAATATTGCAAAAATAAAAACGAACTTCAGATTCATCTCAAGGGCCATCAAATATCAGAAAAATCGAAACACAAATGCAACATATGCGACGAGGTTTATCACTCCCCTAACAGATTAGCTAGTCACAAGTTGATCCACTGCAAGATAATTGACGGCAATATATGCGTCCAGTGCAAAGCAACTCTAAACGATATCGAGACATTTCTAAAGCACCAATTCAAACATAATAACGGTGGAAAATCTACTACGAAACTGGCTTTTATATTACCGTCCATATGCATAGTGTGCAGCCAAACTTTGCAGAGCGATATGGAAATTGAATTGCATGCCAAATTCCACTTAAAATTTTTAACGGAAGAGGTTTCGAGGAGTTGCCTAAAGTGTCCTACAAATTTGGACGAAATTATGGAAAATGACCGCAATCAGTTCCCGTGTAACGCCTGCTTAGTTTCGAATGACTTAAAAACAAAAATTGTTGAAAGTTCACGCGACGAATCTTTAGAACTACAATGTTATCTTTGCAAAAAGACTTTAAGCAGCAAAAACAAACTCCAAGTGCATCTGATAGAACACAACTTTTTCGGCATCAATCAGTTTAGTTGTTACGTGTGTTCGTCGGTATTTACTGCAGCTGCTGGTCTCCAAGCTCATCTCTTAGAGCACAATCTAGCGGAAAAACCTTATCAATGCTCAAAATGTTCGTCGAGTTTCTTCTTCCGTGCCGAACTGGATAACCACAGGTATCTGCACAATTTCCAGTTTGCCGAAACTACGTGTTATAACAATCGAACTTGTCGTCACGATTGTTCTATAACTAAGTCTGATGTTCCAGAAACCTGTTAAATGTATAGATCCCTAGAGGTTGTCCAATATGCAGGGTGTCGAATTTTATACGAAAACTTAAAAGAGCTATATGGCTATATACATTCTGCAACAAATCCTAAACGCAGTTTTTATATTGGGATATTAAAAATAAACAGATAATACTTTACCGTAGCTACAAAGTTAGCGAACTTTATTACGAGCACTATATTTATTTACGTGCAATTCAATTTCGTATAAACGTCGACACGCTGTGAACAAATTTCGAAATATTGGGCATTATTTTTTAAAAGGTTATAACGAAAATTGTATTTAGTCACTGACCAGTCGTACAATGTCTTTTATTTTTTTATAACGTCAAATTTTTATACCGTAATGTTTCGAACGTTGTAGCTTTCTAAATTCATATACGATGATTTCGTATAAACGTTGTTGAACATTTTTTACGTTGTTATTGATGTTAGATTTTTGAACATTGCTTAGTTTATTTATTTGTTGTGTTTGGATATGTTATTTCTGCTCGTTTTGCCTGCGTTACCAAAATAAATCATTACTAAACACCATTCGGTCGTATATTCATTATTCCACCCCTTAACATATCGATCAAAACAATAGTCCTCGATTTCGAAGAAAAAACGAAAAAACGACAACGTTTGTAATTGCAGACGAGGAAAAATATCTATATATATATATATATATATATAAAAAAAACAAAAAGAAAAATGAGCCCTGACATAGCAGCTATTCCTCTGGGAACCTAGTTGAACCCGGTTGGAGCTGGAGGCCCAACTCTCAAGGGTATAGTACGCGCAAGGCGGCAGAAAATTAATGCATTCCCTGGAGAAATTTCATCCACTTCGTCCCTTGCGGATATGCATGTTCGCAATGCTGGTGCCGATACCACCACAGGGGTTTATCCCAAAAAAAGGCATGTATGCCGTCGAACAAAATATCGTAGTTTTTTTTATTAATTTTTCTTGATTTTAAAATTTCGGTTAAGAAAAAAAACGCCGATAACGTAAAATATCGTTGTTTAAAACATAAAGTTGTCTGGGTTTATTTTAACGAAAAAATCGCGTTTCTTTGAATTCACAAATCAGCAAGCGTAGTAACCAACGTATTTGTTTAATTGTCGGTTGACTTCTGATTGATTATCGGCCGCTTAGTAATCCAAATAAAAAAAAACACTTCCAGGCTGCCGCCGAAATAATATTATGTTCGTTTCTATTTTAGTGATTGATAATTTTATTTATTGAGCTCACCGTTACTAACTGAATCCGGTCGGGATTCTACTTACGAATTAATACTTGTATTATCGACGAATCGACTCTATCTGACTGTAGCTAGATTACATTTGCGTGCAACTAGAAGACCGGAAAAATCATTCAATTCATCATTTATGCAATGCTACAGATTCCTGCGATACGAATGAACCGTATACCGCTAATCAATAATTCTGCAACGCGTGACGCGATGAGAGATAGGGTCACCTCCAAAATAGATGTCACTATCGTCTCTTTGGGTGAAAATATTGGCTTCCTGCGATGTCAGTAATTTTTAACAATTTCAACCATAGACTTCTGAAACATCCTTCATCGAAATATTCGTGTCATCAAAATAAGAACTAAAAATAGGAATAAACACTAAGCGGGCTTATAAGTAAGCACGAGATGGTTTTTGTCAGTAATCAGACTAATTGTAAAGCCGTGTTTACTACCTAAAATTACGAACTTTTTTTTTTCAAGTTTTATACGTCATTAATATTCCCCAGAAGTATCGCGGTACTTAACTTAACCTATTATTAGGCACTCTCTGGTAGGATCATTATTTTAATACAGCGTCTGACATAACAACCAATCGGAACAAAATTATTACAAGACGTGGGTAAAATCTGTAACGAATTCGTAGCAATTTAGCCGAGTAAATCTGTCACGCGAAAATGCTAATTCGACCATACAAGATAACGAAAAGTATTCAGTCGCACAATTGCCCGTTTAAACGTTATTAAGCATAAATTAATTTGCAACTTTTGATGGATTCACGTTCCGGTTTGTTCCAGCGTAATGCAACTAAATTATTTGGAACTTAGACACTGTATTTCGTTCAGTTTAATATATTTCAAATTTGGTTTGAATCGCCTTAGTTTTTGTGTTATATGCACTGCCAATAAAAAAAATAATGCTCATGCCCCTAACTGCCATTAACATTTCTGACTGCCTGGTAGGACAAACCCGCTATCTAGCTATAGCGACACCGGAAAATAAGGAACAAAAGAAAATGAAGGGTTCGTCCAGTGTTGAGCATAGGGGGGAATATAGATAATAGACACTAGAAAACTTATTGAGTCTTTTCAGCTATGCGTAAAATAATTAACAAGCATGAAATAAGTTTTTTTTTAATTTCATCTCGTAAAACAAAGCACCATAGATTTTATCAAACACAAAACGATTCGATCCGAACTGAAAGAATTAGAATTATATACTGTATAGAAACGACAACTTTGAATACATATAAAATAAAAACAGATAACAATCAGAGTCTAACTGTAAATTAATGTAATTATTGATGAATTATTCAAAAAGACGTATTTTACAGACGTCACAAGGGAAAGTGTAGTTCCAGCTTAACCCATTTTTTTTTAATGTGACCGATCATATAGTCTTTTTTTATACTACGACTACCGACGGTGCGTGTTTAAGTTTAGAAAATATTGATCAGAACGAATCGCGTGTTAAGATTTGCAACGGATTGCAATTTCGTGCACTTTCCGTGATTAAAAAAAAAAGCCTACCAATCACGGTTAGTTCGCAGTCGTTTGCGATTGTCTCGATAAATGAGATCCGGAGAGGGATTCTGGCTTGGAGCTTGAGCAGTTCATGGGATGCGCACACAACTTAAACATAGTTCTCGCTTTCGGGTTGTTAAAGGCACCGGCAGTGCCTGCCGCCGTGAAAAACCAGACGTTTTACACAATTTTACAATGCCGTCCGTAAAATTATATATTGTTTGGTCAATTGCTAACGAAATGACGAATTTTCCACGAAAATTCAACGGTTTTTCCACATAATTTAATTATAATATTAAGGTGAATATGAGTTATGTTTTGTTTACGTCTTTGAACTGCCTAAATTAATTGCTAACTTATTAAAACACACGATATTGGCATAGGCTTTAGCTTTTTCGTTATGACGGTCGGTAAGTTATAGAGTTGCCTGAAAAATGAACGTTATATTTTAGATAAATACTGAGCAAATCTAGAAAATAGCTACATAACCTGTAAAACTTGGAAATTTGTACATATCTTTGTCGCTATAGGTTTAATTGTTTATAGTCAAAACTCGCTACAATTAGATGCAGCCTGCCCTTTTGCCTCACTTGTAAAAATATTTGTACAAAAAATAACTCCATATTTAGCAACAATAATAATAATACTCAAAATCTGGAATTTCTCAGAATTAAAGCACCGACATAGAAAAGACTTTTTTATTAACAAACTGCCGGAAACCTTAACAAATCGATGACTCCAAATACATAAAAAAACATAAATAAGACGTCTGGCATCCTAGAATAGGAATTAATGGGACGATAAAAATTACATGAAGGCGAATTTGAATTACCACACCGTACTTGTCCCATTTGTCGATATATCCATATCTGTTATTAGAAGGTTCTGAAGTGGAAACAGAAAGATACGGATTATCAAAAAATCGTTTAACCAGAAAATAAGGGAATGCACGCTCCGTTTCAGCACAATTACGTTAAGATTAAATAAACAACTGACATATTTATTGACAGTAGCAAAAAATAAATTCGATTTTAATTATTTTCGAAAGCAATTAATTTAATGTTTTTATTGCTGCGCGTTTATTTTGCTTTTCAATTAGATTTCGTCATAATTTCTGAAACCAAAGTCAAATGTTATGGTTATAATCGCGTGTCATCATTATTTTACTTCATCTGTTGAATGGATAACTCCCAATAAAGATCACATATGATATAAAATAATTTTATTTATTGAAACTTTACTTTTGTGCAAGCGATCGTTTACCATTACACAAATTTGGTATAGGAAAATGAGCTTTACATTTACATTCTTAATTGGTTTTGGCTTTAGGAGGAAGAGCGTTTGTTTCTATCAAATGCTCTTGTTTGGCCTTGTCTTCAGATGTTTCTAACATCGCCTATTTTAATAGAATTAACGATTTCCTAATAAATTTTAATAATATTAATAGGGTAAACCATCGGATATGTCTTTAATAGGACCCCGGCTTTTTATAGTGCCTCCAACTTTTCTGGCAAACAAGTCGTGATACACGAATGTTTCCAAGAATTTTCCTCCCAACCTATTTTACTGTCTAAATAGCTTTGTTATTTCCATTTTCGTTTTGGGACCCTTAGCTCAACTAAATTGTGTTTATCAGCGTCAAAACTCTCGAAAAACAAACAAGGAAACAATTTATTCGCTAGTACGTTAATATTTTTACATTTGCGATGTTGGGTTTAAGTAAAACCGAAGCGTTTGATAAGAAAACGGGGGTAATGCGTTTAGTAAACTATATTTTCAATAGCAATAAAGGTTTTAAAAACTAATTTATAGCATAAAATAAAATTCATGACGATAAACATGTGTATGTATATTTATACAAAATATTGACAATTGAAGTTATATTTGGACGTTAGAATTGAATTAAGGGAACGAGAAAACAAACTAATTACGAACGAAACCCTTTCCATCGCCTAAATTTAATCGGTAAATGCAGTCAACATGAAATTCTCGGACCTTTTAAGGAAACCACATGCTACACGGTATCGAAACTGTCGAATTATATACTTTAAGGAGTTATTAGCGTTTAAACGCAGTTCTAGAACTAGTTACTATTAATTATTACAAATTGACTACAGTATTCAAGCAGCCAGTTGCAAACTAACTTTCCATCAAATTTTCCAATTAACAATGTGAATGAAACCCGTTTATAACTGTGCCGACAATTACAAAGCTTCATATGTACTGGATTTCAATACTTTATAGCGATATTTTATGTTTTTGTAATTGCAACATAAACCATAGATCATGAATTGAAACTTTTGCCTCATTAGGAAGCGACTTACCTGAACAGAGAACCGGAAGTGGTGAATTCAGATCATCTTTAATGAAGAAATGTGGTTTCTCTCCACAATCGGCATATTACCTAAAATCGATAGATGTCATGGATAGAGAACATCCACCTTTCGGATATTCCACACCACACTGTATTTTTTTAGAGACGTTATGGTCAGTCGTCCAGTATCGAAAATTGTATTTATTGACATAACTCGAAACATGAAATGAGTTTTAGTTTTAAACAAATAGAATGGGTAAAAATCGACCGGTAATCGAATATACGGAAGTAACAGGATTGCCAGGGCTTCTAGTGATAAAAAAGGACAATATTAGTTATCCAAAAAAATCCGTAATTTAATTCCGAGCATATTTTCCAACCCTAAGCCTTCCAAAGAAACAGTTGTGACTAGAAAATTTTATTCAGCATGCACTTTAAGTATGCCAGAAGATTC